AGAGGAAGCTCTGCCTGGTAGTGGTTCTAATTTCATTTGGCATATTGAGGAAAGTACACAGCACATTCAGTGCCATTTTGATGGTGTAATTTGTGGAAACAAATGGTCCTCACTGTTGTCAACAGGCCATTATAATCAGTGCAGTCAAAAGCAGTCCAGGACATGCTTCCACATTAAAGAAAATAAAGTCATCCATCGATTGCACTTTTACTATATAGAAAGAAATCTGGAGTTATAAATATAGCTTTGGCTTCTTTGATGACGAGTTCTCATTTCTCTCTCTGTTTTGGATAGTGATTGCAGGGTGGAGGGCTGTGTTCTTTTCCAGTCTCAGCTATAATTTATTTTTGAGGCAAAAGGTTATTTATGTTCTTCTCATATCCTTCATTCTGAATCAGAGGAGCTAATGCTATACAGTAACTTACTAGGGCACCCAACCTATTCTAGTTTCATTCCTGCTATCCTTTACATATTTGAAAATCATCATGGAAGGACACTGCAATTTCCTAAAATCAATATTATTTGGTGGTGGTGGTGGGTGGCTGAGGGATGCTGCGTACCAAAAGGAAAAGAAGAATATCTAGCTAAACATGACTGAAATGTTTAATGAGCAGGGCACTTTCCAAGGCTGGTTTCAGGACAGGAAGCACAACCTACATGATGGACTTCTTAACCTGCTGCTTGGCTCTTCTGAGCTCTTTGAAATGCCACATCATGTTAGTGGCAGTATTAGGAAAAAATTGTATTATGCCATTTTAGAGAGAACTTTTAATGATGAAAAACAGGGCACCAAATGTCAGACTTGCATTTAATTTCTTCCCAATACTAGCACTTGCTACCACTGCAGCATGGCTAAGGAGGTAAGGAATTAGAACTCTAGTGAATAGGAAATTTATTCTTAAAACAAGGTAGTTCCATTACTCACTATCTTTTTAAAAGAACTAGGCAGTACAACTGGCTTGATGGTTGTTGTTGTTAACAACCCTCAAGTCAATCTTGACTCATGGCGGCTCTATGAATGAAACACTTCCAAGATATCCTATCCACAACTGCTTTGCTCTGTTTCTGCAGACTTAGGGCCATATCCTCTTTGAATCATTCATCTGGAATGTGGTCTTCCTCTTTTTACTGCCTTTTATCTTTTCCAAGCATTATTGTCTTTTATAGCTAGTCATGCCTTCTCATAATGTGGCCAAAGCATGACATCCTAGTCATCTTGGCTTCTAGGCAGGTTCAAGCTCAATTTATACTAGGAGCCATTTGTTTGTCTTTTTGGGTGTCCACAGTATCCACAGAACTCTTCTCCAGCACCACATCTCAAATGAGTTGATTTCTTTCAATCAGCTTTCTTCACCATCCAGTTCTCACTTCCATACACAGTGATGCAAAATATGATGACCTGGACAATCCTAACAGTGTTCACTTGTAAATTTTTGCGTTTCAGGAACTTGTCTAGTTCTTTCATAACTGCCTTTTTCAGTCCTAGTCTTCTGATTTCTTCACTAAAATTTCCATTCTGATCAATGAATGATCCAAGGTGTGGGAAATCCTTAACTATTTCAATTTCCTCATTGTCCACATTGAATTTATGTCAATGTTCTGTGATCTTTATTTTTGTTTTCTTCATGTTCAACATAATCCTGCCTTGGTATTTTCTTCTTTGACTTTCCTTAGTAATTGTTCCAAATCTTTGTTATTTTCTGCTAGCAGTATGGTGTCCTCTGCATATCTTAGATTGTTAATATTTCTTCCTTGGATCTTCAGTCATCCTCCTCTATGGCAAGGTGGAAAGTGATTTTAGGGGAAAAGAGTACCATCAACCTGAGCCTGGAACAATCCACACATCAAAATCACATTTTTTAAAAAGTCAGCTCTCTGCTTATTTCATCAAATAATCACAAAGCACTACAAAAATGCCCCTAAATTTGTAGTCATCAATGAATTCTTCTTTATCATTGAAGCAGATTAGGGCATCTTTGCTTATTACTACCCAATGAACAAATTTACTTTCTTGATACCCTGTGCAACTGTACAATAGACTTCTAAACACCATGTTTTATTGAAAACCCATTAATTGATATGCATACTTATTTCTACCCAGAAAACACTAGCAAATCTATTGTTTACAGCCAAGCCCTCCAATACAACTGCAACTACATAAGACAAGACAACCGCAATTGCACAAGACAGTCTGAAAAGTCTTGAATTTACAGCAGGCATTTCTCAAACTACAATACTCAGCTAAGGAGGTGAAGCATTGACATTGACAAGGCAAGAATTATAATACGCTGTAACTATTTATTACATGACAAACCAAAAACACAAAATGACAGAACACCCTTAGCAATCACCTACAGTCCCCATCTGAGATAGCTCAAGCATAACAACAATGTTCTACAACTATTTCTGGAGAATAACACAGTCCTCTCATAAGCTCTGGGAGGTATGCCTTTATTGGCCTACAAATAAGCCCCAAATCTTAAACAACTACCCACTCACAACAGGATACATAACATGGATGGTAATACAGGGACACAACCCTGCCACAAACCCAAATGTGAACCCTGCCCACACATCTACTCTGGGACTGGGGCTAAATACATGGGCTAATAATATCACCCACAACACCAGAGGTACATTTATTTGCTCTTCCTCCAATATGATATATATCTTGTGTCTTTGTTCTACCACATGTTCTCTCTTGCTACAATACTTTCACATTTCTTCTCTTCCTCTCCTCCATTGGATATTGTGATTATGAACAAGTAATTTGCAAGTAAAGCTACTTTTATATGTTTTACAAAGAAGATTAATCTACTTCTTTTGTCTGCTAGATCCTTTGTGTGTGTGTTCGTGTTAGAGAGAGAGAGAGAGAGACAGACAGACAGACAGACAGAGAGTGTGCACACATGTGACTGGGATTTGTTTAGCTGACCAATTTAATTTGCTTGAGTAACCCACAACTATCTCTCACATTTCTCAACATCTGTCTCATTCCAACTTGTCCTTGGGTTAGGTCACATTTATTTCCATTAGCATTCAGCTGGCTAGCCCAAAGCAGTCCAGAGCCATGGTACCTAATCTGTCTGAGAGACAAAGAAGTTCAATTAACAGTAATCAAAACTACTGCAACTTTCTTATCCACATAGACCGGCTGTGACATTACAGCAGAGCAGTTGCCTGCTATTTGATAAAACTCTTAGCATATATTTCCATACTGTAAAAAGCCTTATGTACCCTTCCAAATCTGCACACCTTTGTTTCCTCATGAGTAGTTTTGTGCTCACTTGAGAGCCTTGTGAATTTTTGGATTGCAACATCTGTTTGTAAAATGTGATGTGGAAGATTAAAACATTGAATGTTTTCTGCTGAATCTTGATAACTTGTTGGTAACTTTTTACAGGTTTATTTATTTATTTTACAGAAGAGGACTGAGGCAGGGATTCAGGGATTCCCCACCACACACACACCTGGGAGGGAAAATCTGGAGGATGGGTTGTATATATTCACTATCTGAATATTACACATTTAACATATTGAGAACAGTAGCAATATGAAAATTATTTATAAAACAAGAAATAGCAACATATCTTAAAAGTAATTTAAGGGGGCAGTATTAGTTTTAGTCACATTATCTTAATAGCACGTACAGCATTTGACATGACTTCCTCATCCATCAAGTATGAAACTACCCTTTGGAGTAAAATCTAATATTCTAACATACACTTACCTGAGAGTAAAGCTCATAGAATGCAATGGAATTTACTTCTGCACAGTCCTTTAAGTCAACATCTCCAGACTCTAGTTGAGTGTGTCCTGGTTTGCAAAATGCTAATTTTAAAATATGTACTTGGATTTTATTGACAACTCTTAAGAGGTTGTTACTTGTCAACACATCTGCCTACATATCTAATGCACAGAAGGAAGTGAGTATAAAGTCTGCACCTTTAACAGTCTGTTTTTTGTCTCCACTGGGAATTTCTGTTTGCTTGTATTACCTTAGTATGTGTGTTATAAGAACTCTGGACTCCTTTGTCCCTTAATCCTGTCATACAACAGTTACCAATATTTATACTAATCCCTATTTGTCTCTTAATCCATGCAAAATACACCTCAGATTAATTTTCTAAAGGGTTGATAAATAACACGAATGCCTGTGCACTGGAAATATCCATATAGACTTTCTGTCTAAGTGTTTTTTGACATTGGCTTAAAGAGATTCTGTTGAGGCAACCACAGAGCCATTCAACATGAAGCACATTAACATGCCTCACATCTACAGTCTATTTTTATTAACTTGCTGATGCTTTTGATGTGACACTTATCTTCACAAATGTTTGATGTAGCAAAGTAAAAGCTTTAATAAATGTTGGCTTTGAAAGGAGTTTTCATGTGGGATTTCTGCTCAGGTAAGAGAGCCAGTGTGGTATAATGGTTTGAGCATTGGACAGTGACTCTGGAGATCAGGGTTCAATTCTCTGCTTTGCCATGGAAACCCACTGGGTGACTTTGGTTACATCACACACTCTCAGCCCTAGAAAATCTCATGATAGGTTTAGGGTAGACACAACTAGGAAATGACTTGAAGTTACATGACAACAACAATTGAATTTAAGCAGTTCCTAAGTAACCAAAATAACAAGAGGACTCATAATAAATAGCATCAGCTAATATACATAAGCAGAAATGAAAGTCTATGTCCTGCTGAGAGAGCCTTGTGAAGCAATGACTGAACATGCCACTACTGTTGCTGCAGGTCGTGAGTCTTCTTGAAAGAACAGGTGACTGCAGTAAGCCAGATAGTGGGAAAATCCAAATCTCTAAATGCACTTAGGGCCTCTGCAGACTGGCTCAAAGGGCTGACCTGGAGGCAGAGATGGGATGGGTTGAGCCGCATGCCTGCTGGCTCAACCCCATGCTGGTGGCGTCCTGATGCCACATGCCGTTACACATGGCGCATGGTGTCAGGACATTTTTCCGGGGAAGCGTTCAAACATGCTGCACTGGAAAGGGTGCTAAAGAGCTGCAAGCCGGCCCCAATCCATGGCTAGCAGGGGCGGCCGAGAGCCACACATCTGCATAGCCCCTTAGACTCCAAATCCCATCAGTCCAATCAAAGGTAAGGGACTATAGGAATTAAATGTTAGAACAATGTTCTTTTCAAACAATGGTAAAAATATTTTGTCTAGCTGAGATTGCTAAGTCAGAGCACTTGGCATGATACAAAAGCTTGCAATTGCTATTGCATCGTGCTAAGTAGCAACCAGTGATGATTATCAGCCAACACTCTATATACGAGGGGGTATCATAAGTAATAATTATCACTCAGAAGTTCTTATGGTATATTAATGAAATTTTGTTAAGTGTCATCACTGACTCTATGTGCATGATGTTGAGAAAATCAGCTCTTTGTTTTCTTTATTTTTGTTACAGATTGTGCCAGAAGTGACTAAAATGTAAGATAGAGAAGATCAAGGGCACAATGTGTCCCCCCCCCCCAGCACCAAAGGACTAACATCTTTAATCTACAACTGTTTGATTGATCATTCTTACCAAAACATCCTTGGCATTGAACTAACCTGGGAAACAGATTTGAATCTTTCAATTCCTATTTCAAAGTGGCTACAGTTTGGTCTTCCACACCTTTTAAATCCAGATCAGTATTGATTAGAGAAAAAAAACCTTGGAAATTATACACAAGTGGTACTTGACTCCAATGAAGCTAGCCAGAATGGTTAAATTTTTCCCCTCCAAATGTTGGTGTGGTTGTAATGATAATGGCACATTTATACACATGTGGCTAGATTGTCCCAAAATAAACACATTTTGACAATTGGTACTTGAACAAATTTCATTGATTACCAACCAGGAAGTAAAATTATGTCCAGAAATGTTTTTGTTATCGATATATGTAGACACAAACTCACATTTGAAACATAAAAACCTCATAGATTTTCTCACTACAGCAGCCTGTGTAGAAATTGCCAGATGCTGGACAACATGGGATATATAACATAGTGGAAAAAAGTATGGGACCTATGGTTACTTGAAAAACTGTCAGACAGAATGACAAGTTATGCAGGACAATCAAAATCAGGACCTTTTATAGACAAATGGTTCCCACTCATTGACTTTATAAACAAAGACAGGAACAAGAGAAGACAACCTCCATCTCATCTGAACCTTTGGTCTAGACTAGATTTACACAAAGACAGCACTGGACTTTAAAATGACCACTTACATTGAATAGAACCCAAGAAGGAGACCCACAACACAATTCAAAGTTGTGAGATGAATTGTTTTATTTTGCTTTATTGTTGTGATATGTATTGTATATAGTAGTTTACTTATAATAATAATTTTCTCATAAAATAAAAGTATAAAAAAAAGATAGAGAAGACTGAGGCTTGCAACATGATAAGTTTCTGCATTTGAAGGGTAACAGTGCCTAGAAAATTCATGATGAGGTGATGGTAGTGTATAGAAATGATTGCCCATCTTATGACACTATTGTGAGGTGGAAAAGGAATTTCCAAACTGGTCATATGTCCCTCATAGATGAGCCAGGACTTGGAAGATCATCATTGATGGACGATGCCATCATAGGGGGGTTGCAGATTGCCAGAAATAGTGCAAATTGAGTCCACTTTAAGGGTTAGAGAATCATGGGAACTGTATTTTATTGTGGCACCAGAGCTCTCTGACAGAGAAGGCTCAATGTCTCAGAAAAAAAACCAATTTCCATGATTCCCTAGCACTAACCCTAACCCTAAAAGTGGACTCAGTTTGCACTATTTCTGGCAGTCTGCAACCCCCAATAGTAAAGAAAGTGGACTGTTTAATCCTGGAAGACAACTGAACAACCATCCAAATGATCATGAATGAAACTGGTCTCAGTTATAGTAGTGTGTAGAAAATTATTCATGACCAACTGCACATGTCTAACATGTCTGCACACTGGGCTCCATATTTGTTAACCCCCTTCCAGAAACAACCATGTCGTGACCTTCCAAGACAGATGTTGATACTGTTGGAACAGGATGAAGACGAGCTTTTTGGTCATCTGGTAACCATGGATGGATTTTGGATCTATCAGTATGAACCAGAGACCAAAACCATGAGCATGGAGTGGAAGCATGCTGATTCCCCTCCTCCCAAAAAAGCAAAGGTGCAAAAGTCAGCTGGGAAAGTCAAAATGCTCTCAGTTTTTTGTGACTGTCATAGAATCATTCTCACAGACAAACCATCACTGGCACATACTGCAGCAATCTTCTGGACAAGTTGTGAGATGCTCTGAAAAAGAAACACCATGGTATACTTTCCAGAGGCATTCATCTCCTAGCTGACAATGCAGCAGCTCACTCATCTTAAGTTGCAGTTAACAAAGCAAGGGCATGTGACTTTGAGATCTTGCAGCATCCACCTTATTCTCCTGACCTCGCACCAAGTGACTTTTTTTTGTTCCCAAAAATGAAAAATCCACTGTAGGGTCACTGATTTGGCAACACAAATGATGTCATTCATGAAGTGGAAGTTAAGGCACAATCTGCAGACTTCTACAATAATGGTATTCAGAGGGTGAAGAAATGCTGGGTTGTGTAAAAATGTGTAAATGTGGATGGTGACTATGTAGAGAAAAATTAACAACTACAAATCAAAACAAACTTTCTGTCTAATTTTTTAAAAGGTGAAAATTAAAACTTTATGATACCCCCTCCTAAGTGCACTGAGACTCAGGACACGTGTGGGTTGATGAAGATAGTGGATTGGAGAGAGTTAGTTGGATTGTTATACTGCAGATGGTGATTGTTGAGAGGAGTCATGAGAAGAGTTTGTACATATTTGTAAATATTATTATTGCATCTTATGATAAAGGACCTCCAAGGACTTGGAAGAATATCAACAGTGACTGTGAGTTTATTCAAGTAGCCAGTGCATTGACAATACTTAAACTGAACTGGTGCGTCCATGCTCTGCTACTGTTAGCTACTTCTGAGAGTGTTTACCTCAGACAGTGCTGTAAGTTGGCATCTCTGGTGGGCCTAGAGTTTTGTTTTTGTTACTGCATATCAGCGGGACATAGAAGAGAACCAACATTGAAGTCCCCAATTTATCCAAATCCCAAAGGTTTCCCACCCCTGCAATAAGTTTTGGCAGTAATTTTTTGGGCAGAGGGAGTCAATGTAGATGAAAAACATTTGTGGGAGGATGTAGATGAAGAGGGATTCTGGGAATTTGTTTGCTAAGCGGGTTTGCTAGAGTTGAGAACATCAAGCTGACAGTGCCAGATTTTAGGGGTTTTCCTCATACTCATTACTAGTATATGTGGGCCTGACAGAAACTCTGTTGCCACATGTATCCTATTCTTGCTAGATTCAGACAAAAACATTACACAGACCTTGATGGGGGCAGGTGAGTGGTTCACACTCTGACCCAGTTTGGGTTCATTTGAGATTCAATTTGTGTTGGAGGAGAAGCTGAAATTGCAGCCTTTTCTTTTAATATAAATAGGTGCAGGTAGCTGGGTTTGGATTGGCACTGCAAGAGACAAGGGTAGATCTGTGCATGCCATCTACCAGGGTCCCATTGCACACAGTGCCAACTCCACCCTGCTCCTGCTATTTCTTTTAAGTGCTCTACCTCACCTTGTTTTGGTCAGGGTGAGTGAAAAAGAAGGAAGTACTTTTAAATTTGGTTTTCTTTTAGTGGTATTTCTTGGGATATTATGAATTTTGAAGCTTACTGTTACATTTTGATCTCTCATTGTGTATATAATTGTTGCAGCATTTTTTTTAAAGCTATGTGGTATACTTTAAAATTTAAATTTTAACATAAAAAAGAAAAGAGAGCCTAAATTTAAAATTTCTAGTAGGATAGTTATGGAGTTGTTCTTTGGCTCACTTTCCTAGGAAACAATCATGGATTTCTCCCCATCTTCCACACAGTATAATCCAAACAATAACAGTATAATGCAGACATGAGGGATGCTTCCTTCTCACAGGCTTTAAAATATTTAAAATGTTTAATTGTGAGGCTTAGGGGCTTCTCCCACTTCTGAATGCTACCTGGGCTGGAAAGTATATGTATAGGTCTCCCTCCAAACAGACTACAGAATAAGCTGGAGTACTTGATGTTGTCGTAAAAAATGTTACATGTACAGAAAGGATAAAAAAACCCTCATCAGTAGGTATAGCAGGCTTCTGCTTGCATGAGTGAGGATTACATTCTCAATTCTTCTTCAGACATTGCTTGTCTATGCTGTTAATAACCTGTCCACAGTTTGTTCTCTAGCTGATCGCCTTGCATTCTGAAATGTATCATTTGTTATTTTCTTGTCAGCAAGCCTTAAAGAGGAAGAGATCCAGATGGCTAGATTAACAGGGAAGCCTGTCCTGCATTAGAAACTAAAGGAGAAGCTGTAGAATGCAGGGAAGTGCTGAAAGAGACACTCAATGCTTTCAATCCTTTCTTGCTGGTACCTTCTGCAAA